AAAAAAAAAAAAAAAAAAAGTAATCTGACTTCAATGACCAGAGTATGGGTTTTCAAGCTGCCAGCTGCCTCCCATGTGGGCACTGGTCAGAGAGGCCACAGCTGCCGGAACGGGAGGTACGGCAGACCCCACATCACCTGCCTAAGGGCCCATGCCTGGCAAGGAAGAAACACACACCTGGGCCTAGCCAAGGGTGGTGCCCTGCCTGGTAATTCTTTAGGTACAAAATCTACAAAGGGGACCAATCCTGGAGAACGCATTTCTCTTCCCCTCTCTGGCAGAGAAATATCTGGCTGAAGAAAAAGGACACAACACACAAGTATTGTAAAAAGGGAGGGTTCCTGTGGAAGGCAGTGCATGATTTAGAAGCTGAAATATAAAGAATACAGCTCAACAATTGTGCTTTGAATGTCTTGTAAAATATTGCTTTAAAATCCCATTTTAGATGCTTGATGTCTGAAATGAAACCATGGTCTTTTAAAATATTTTTGATTCCATGCCTTTTTATAAGGAAGATGAATTAACACCTCCATCATGCTAGTTGTAAGAGACTATTCAGGACCGAAATTGTATAGGTTTTCTATGTTTTCACTAAAGACTATGATGAGCAATGATAGAATGACAGCTTATTAGAAAACAAACTGAAAAAAATATATGTATTGATTTGAGAATTTTTTCACACATGAAATCATTTCTCCTTCCTATGGTTATGTCCTCCTACTGATAAAAGCTCCCCACTGAGACTCCTGGACCCATGGTTTTGTGCCTGCTGGGCACCCCACTATGGTGATTCGTGCTCTAAAACACACTGACCGCAGGAAGCATTCACCCATGACAATTATGAAGGAACTATTCTGTCCCTCACTTAACCTCTGGAAGTCAATATGGAACAGCCGTGACTCTCTCCAGAGCCATGTGTTTGCAGTTCTCCAGTGAGCGGGTCACACCCGGTGGGTCCCCTATTCCTTGGGACGCTTGTTGATTCATCCTGTTCCCATTCAGTTGCTCGTTTGCTCAGCTGAACATGGGAGGCATCGGGGCCAGGCTGAGGAGCTGGGACGGAATGCGGGACAGGGAGTGAGGGGAGATCGAGCTGAGAGGGGCCACTGGATCCCGAGAGGTGTGAACCCATGATTTCAGTCCAAAGACACTGGGCAGAAACGAAGGACACACAATGACTGAAAACATTAACGTTACTTTCTGGGATCTCTCGGTGCCTTGAGCCATCTGTGTGTCTACCTACAGATGGGCAAAGCACTTTCACACTCTGGCCCCATTCCCAGTTCTCCCCTGAGAACTCAGTCCTCCTTGAGGAGTTGGTGATGCCTGTCATTTGAGCTCCCATTTAATGGCTCATGGTGACCAGAGGCTCACGTCTGCAAGTTAAAATTGCTTTTATCAACATCTACTACAATGGCTCTGATTTCACATAAATAATCACAGACTTGATTAAAATGAATATATTATTCTAGGTTAATTTTTTTCCATTCACATGTTTATATTCTGTCTACCCAGAACAATTAAAACAGAAAAAATAGGCACCTCCAAAGTCTTCCCAAGAATGATGACTTTGAAATGACATGTTGTACAAACTGGACAAATGAGACGAATGACTGTGATGGGTGCCGGGGAGCTCGTTAAGGGGCCGTTTTCTTCAAGTCTCGGATCTGCTTAATCAAGTAGTTCTTCTCGTCAGCAAACTGCTCATCATCCGTCCTTTCTTTTTGGAAGCTGCTCAGAAACTCAATGAGTTTGGGCTGATTTTTTAACAGAATCTCCACAATAGGCTGTGTTTTGTGAGGACTGGCCACAAACACCTGAAACAAAAAGAAACAAATACTTAGGAAAGGCGTGCTGGCCAGAGAACTGACCCACGCTGCTATTCGTGTTTCATGTGTGACCGATATTATTAATGTAGGGAAGACCCTGATTCTAATTATCAGTGAGGGTGATCAATACAGTCACATGCCACATAATAATGTTTCATCAACCATGGACCACGTATACAACTGTGGTTCCATAGACCATAACGGAAATGAAAAATTCCCATCGCCGTGTGATGGCATAGCTCCATGCATTTACTTGTGTGTCTGGTGTGATGCTGGTGTAAACAAACCTACCGCCCAGCCAGTCACATAAAATTCAAGCCCATACAAGTATGCACAGTGCATAATACTTGATAACGACTACGGTACCAGTTTACATATTTACTATACTATACTTCTAATCGTTATTTTAGAGTATATTCCTACTTATTAAATAAAAAGTTAGCTGTGAAACAGCCTCAGGCAGGTCCTTCAGGAGGTATCCAGGAGAAGGCCTTGTTATCAGGAGGTGACTGCTCCATGGGCGTATGGCCCCTGCAGACCTTCCAGGGGGACAAGATGTGGAGGTGGAAGCAGTGGAGGCCGCGACTAATGTGTTTGTGTCTTAGTTTTTAACAAAGCAGTTTAAAAAGTAAAAAAGAACTTTAAACCTAGAAAAAAGCTTATAGAATAAGAATGTAAAGAAAGAAAATATTTTTGGACAGCTATATTATGTGTTCATTTTAAGCTAAGTGTTATTGCAAAAGAGTCAAAACATTTTTAAAAATTAAAAAAGAAACTTTTTATAAAGTGAAAAGTTACATTAAGCTAAGGTTATTTTTGTGTATGTATTTATTTGAGACAGGGTCTCACTCTATGGCCCAGGCTGAAGTGCAGTGGCGCCATCATAGCTCACTGCTGCCTGAGATGCCTGGGCTCAAGTGATCCTCCTGCCTCAGCCTCCCCAGTAGGAAGGACTACAAGTGCATGCCTCTGCATGTGGCTAATTAATTTTTTTTTTTTTTTTTTTTTTTGTAGATACAGGGTCTCACTATGATTGCCAAGGCTGGTCTCGAACTCCTGGTCTCAAGCAATCCTTCCACCTTGGCCTCCTAAAGCTGTGGGATTACAGGACTGAGCCACCATGCCTGGCCCTAAGGTCAACTTATTATTAAAAAAAAGAAAAAAACATTTAAGAAATCAATTTAGTGTAGTCTAAGCAGTGTTTATGAAGTCTACAGTAGTGTTCAGTAATGTCCTAGGCCTTCACATTCACTCACCACCCACTCACTCACTCTCCCAGAGCAACTTCCAGTCCTGCAAGCTCCATGCATGGTAAGTGCCCTATACACGTGTACCATTTTCTTTCTATCATATTTTTACTGTATTTTTTCTATGTTTAGATACCCAAATGCCATTGTGTTATAATTGCCTGCAGTATTCAGTACAGTAACATGCTGTACAGGTGTGTGCACTAGGCACAATATCCTGTATTACACAGCCCATATTACATAGCCTGCATTACATAGCCTAGGTGTGTGGGAGGCTCCACCATCCAGGTTTGTGTAAATGCGCTCTGTGATGTTCCTGCAAGGACGACATCACCTAGAGAGCGCGATTCTCAGAACAACTCCCCGCTGTTAAGTGCCGCAGGCCTGCACTTCACATTTCCTATAGTCTCTTAGTCACTAGCTAGGAGTACGTGGGAACTATATATAAACATTCAAACTTTTACTTTGTTTTACTTTTAAATATTTGTTAACTATAAAATAACATAACAAATACCAGTATACTTAGCTCATAAATTGAATACATTTTGTCATTGTGCTTCAAGTGTCTCTTTTTAAAGAAAGAAAACGTTTTACGAATGGAACCAAACCCTCCCCTTCCACCTTTTCCCTCCCCTGCAGCAGTGTGCCACCATCTCCGGGCACGTTTTAATGCCTTTCCTCCTACTATAGAGATATGTAAACATAAACAACATACAGTATTTCAGTAAGCTTATGGTTTTT